CGGAGTAAGTTCTTTTGTAGACCAGGGACTAGGTTTTTGAAATTGCGATTTCAGTACCTCGTGGCTCGAGTAGGGAGAAGACTCTTCTGTAACGTTGCACCGTGTTGTCTAACAGAAGTTAGCCGACGTTTCAGAGTTGTTGTACTTTCTTGTCACGTCATCCCCTTTGGTCAAATGTTACCTTCAGTGTCCTGTAATGATACGTTCGAAACATCTGAAAATAGACCATTACCTAGTGTAATTCGGTTCATTCTGTAAGCATCAGACATTTGCGTCGTAAATTATCTTGTAGCTATGCTGTGGTCAGAATCTGCATATTCCGAACCTCACCTGTGTATTTGGGTCGCCATCTTTATGGTCTCCATTTTGTTACCTGAGGGCGTGGTCATTGTAGGCTCCTGTTGTGTTGGCGGGGCGTGACGTCACTTATTCACCTCTTGAATGTAAATAGCCAATGCGCTCATGTGGTAACTTGACAAAGTTTAGAGAAATACAGGAATTTGTAGTTTGCTATTTGAACTGAGGACCCGGAAGGTAAAATCTTGTACTGGAGAGACCATTTGATGTTTTCTTTTTGTTTTTTTGTTTTTTTTTTTAGACGAAGAGAGTGGCAATACTTGAGGAAATTTTCCCCCATCTTTGTTTCATTCTGGGGCTCCATTTACCCGAAACAATTATTTTCCAATTTTTTGGGTTAATTTCATGGTTATTTAAGAATTATAGTGGAAAGAATTTTTGGGTTGATTGTTTTATTAGCGACATTCTGTGGGGAAGATATCGTGATTATTTCGTATCGAAAATATAAATTTTGTGGCTTATAAACATGTCTGCATAACGGATTTAAGTCCTCTGCAATATAGACCAGTGCTGTGCAAAAACCGACTAAGCACCAGTTTCTTTTTTAAAAAACATTGTGGGATAATGGAGTACAGTCACGTTCAGAAATGAAGGGAAGATATGTAAAGAACACCTGGTGCGATTTGAAATAAAGAGCGATGTTTTTTTTCCCACGAGGCCTTAAGAGTATTTAACGATTGTTATGCGGGACTACATAACATAGAAATTCGAAGTCGCTGGATATTCATCCTGTAGATTAGTAACATTTCTTGTGCTGTTTGTTGATTAATATACAGTATATTAAGAACGTGGATTTTTTTGTGGTTTATCATCGTTTGATGTGATTGCATCTTAAATTAGGCCACGACTACCTACTTTAATGTTTTTTTTTTACATTTAATCGACGTTACAACCTATAATCAAAGTTTGTGATGTTGCGTAATAAACCACAAATAAATCAATA